CTTGGGCACCGAGGGCGGTACATCTTCCTGGCTGTCAGGGAGCGGCGTAAACGTCACGCCGATCTCTCTGCACACTTCCGCCAGTTCGTTCTCCCATCCAAGCTCCCTGCACAGTTTATGGACAACTTCGTCGCATTTGCCTAGCAGAAGTACATCGTCTGGTCGAAAGCCCAGATCCCCTACCTGTTCCAGGTTGATCAGCACGCGCGGACAGAGCTCACTGGGCATGTTCGCGAGCGCTGCAAACGGATTTACCGTCAGCGACGTGCCTATAATGATCAGGAGGTCCGCGAGAGGGACTTCACGGGCAGCGCGTGCAAATTCTAGCGGGAGCTAGAAACTCCTCAGAAAGAAGACATTCGACAAGCGGGAAAATATTTACCGATTCCCCAAAGAAAACGATGTCTGGCTTAACGAGACTGTTACACGTCTCACAACGCGGAACAATTCTGTTCAATACACAGCGCTTCATCCGTTCGTCGTCGAAGGGCCGCCTGCACCCGATGCACCGCTGGCTCGCAAAGCTCCCGTGAGCTTCGACGATCTTGCTGGGGGGAACACCAGCTCTGCGCTCGAGCGTATCGATGTTCTGCGTGAAACACCGGTGAAGAAGATTGTGGTTGTCCAGAACACGAATAAAGGCATGCGTTAACGTGGGATTATACTTTCCGGGATAAAGTTCATGTGCAAGAGTGTAGACTGGTCTGAAGTTGAACCACAAGAAGACTTGAGAGAAGCCACTTACACGGCTGCGGGTTTTCTCGGAAATACGATAAGTCAAAGACGGCCTGGTTTGAAGAAACGATGAGTGAGACTCGGGATTGTTCACAGGATACCCACCTCGGGGAAAGGTAGATTCAGTTTCGCAAGGTTATGCTTGTATATGTGTATGAATTGTGGCTTTAAGCGCTCTAGCAAACATTGACGTACATATAAACCTGCTCATGAACGGTCAACTTGTGGAACCTCGAAGAGATACCAAGTGTGCAACTCGCCTGTTCGCGGAGACCGGAAATCGGGTATACCAGCTGAGGTGCTAATGCCTGGAACAGCGCTCATTTACGATGACTTCAGATCCTGAGCAACTTCGCTGTACCCACCAGCGCCTAACTGGATTTCGAGAGCTCAGAGGGGAAGAACAGGTACAGGATCAACATTGGACTGACCATCAGTACAACATGCCGACATTTCCTGCTCTTCATATATCCCACAAGGCCCTGTAAAGAAGGCTCGTCTAGGACAGTGAATGCGTTCCTCGGATTGGGATTGACGCGCGAATGATACGAGTACATGGTGGTACGAGATATGTTGCCGGAAGTGTGAACGGCCGCGGTTATCGATCTGATTGTGTTGTTCAAAGGTTCGGAATCAATGAAATGAACTTGGACCCCGCTATCGAGTTTTCTAAGTTCGTGAGTTCGAGTTTCTGGCGACCGTGCTTGTCGTCGTGTCGCCGTAGCTGTCGCCGGTGGTTTTCTCCATTATCTGGCCTTGCTGTGCCTCCGAAAAGAGCCCCGTCGTCCACCATATCGCTCGGCATGGAGGTTTATCAGAAGCGCCTTGAGTCCTTCGCCAAACCAAAGCGCATCAAGCCAGCGAAGGGACGCGCCGTTTCTATTTCCTGGCCTCACGACAACGCAGACTATAAAGCTACGCCGGAATCGCTTGCAGAGGCTGGCTTTTTCTACAAACCTGAGCTAGGTTTTCCTGACAACGTGCAGTGCTACCTTTGCAAGAGGGAACTCAGTGAATGGGAGCCTGACGATGATCCTCTCGAAATCCATTACCAAAAATGCGAACACTGTCCGTGGGCTGTTCTTCGCTGTGGTCTACTTCACGACACGGACAGCCATCAGCGGTGCGTGGAAGCCTTCTACATGCTGTTGCGCCTTCAACCCAACGCCACATCGTTCCAGATTCGTGTTCCCGGACAAATCGCGTATACCGTCATCCCCTTTTCTCGAACAGATGCGTTATGAAACCTTCCAAGCTGGAAAAGGGTGGCCCTACGATGAAGAAGGCGATGCGCATCGTTGCCATTCCCGCAGGGTACGTTGCACGCGGTCTCTGTTGTTCAGCCTGCCCTAATCTGCCTTAATCTACGTAGATGGCGGCGGCTGGCTTCGTTTATAGTCCGGAGCATCCAGGCGATGACCTTGCAATGTGCTTGTACTGTCACGTTGCTCTTAGTGGGTGGGAACCCGACGATGACCCAATGTCGGTGGTTTCTTCTGGTTATAGTCACGTGCCTTGATTGATCCAATTCTTAGGGAAGAGCACAGCAGACGCAATAGAAAATGCGCCTTTCTGACGCATTCTGCTTCACGGGGCATGCAGAATGCAAGCACGTTACGCGCGAGCTCAACCAAGCCACCCAGCCGCTCTCAGTCTAGAACTACCAACTCATCACGGGCACGCTCTCAGGTCGTTGATGAAGTACAAGAGACCAAAACCTACGACGGCAGCGAGTCTGACGCTCCGGGTACTGTTACGGCCTCTCGTCGTGGTAAAGGCAAAGTTTCTAAGACGGCAAGTAGCAGACGGGCTGCTCGTACAGAGCTGTCTTCACAAGCAGAAGAAACCACTCAAGAAGAGGACATCACGGAAGCCTCCTCGCCACAGACTGTCAAGAAACCTCGTGCTAGACGCACACGCACTAGATCAGTTTCTCGCGCCAAATCTGCGTCTCGCTTACGCTCCAAGTCCGTGTCGCGCACACGCCAGAACGGTGACGCCGAGGTTGCCGATATTGCTCATCTATCCGACACGCCACAGCTCGAGGAGCCTGTGTCGAAATCTCCGCCGCCGACAGTCAAAAAGTCCGCACGCTCAAAGTCGACCAGAGGTCGCAAGACTGTCACACAACGCGATATCGACGTGATAGGAGATGGTGAAATAGTGGCCGAAGATGCGGCTGAATCATTGACTATACGCACGACACGGTCAAAGCAAAAAGATCTAGGTGTCGGTCCCTTGCCGATTGACTCTGCGCCTTCGAAGGTGACGAGAAAGCCTTCGTCTTCGAAGCCTGCAGTGACAACGCGCAAAGCCTCCTCAGCTAAACCGGCGGCAGCTCGGAAGCCTTCTTCTCACGCTGTGTCTCACCTGCAGAAGGTTGAGTCTACACCGGTGACTGTAAGAGACGAGGAGGATATGCATGAAGCTGTCGACATCCAGCCGGTCGAGTCAACAAAACCCACCAAAGCCAAACCGAAGGCTAAGGCAACTTCTGTAAAGGTGCCTTCTGCAAAGATAATTGGACGCGCAGAGAATTCTGTTGTCCGCTCTGCTGCGCATGATCAACCTGATCGAGTACCGGCGGTGGAGCACCTTTTCGATGATTCTGTCGAAGTCGAACAGGTCTCAAGCGTAGAACACCCCTCAGGACTAGATCAGGATGTGGTTGCTATGGATGACGTCGAGGTTGAAGGGGAGCCAGATTTTCCCCTAGACAAAACACCTTCACCGCCGCTGGAGACATCACCGATCCCGACGGAGTCCTCCCCGCCGACGCAACCACCATCATCGACTACCTTCGGGAGTCGACCAAGTGATGATATGGATGTCGACGAGCCATCATCTGCTCGTTCATCTGCGGCACCTACTCATTCCGATGGATCAGTCCGGACTCAATCTTCCTCTCGCTCTCAGATGTCCACTCGTTCTCAAGCGCCTGTTCGGACACAACCTTCACGAACACAGGCTGCTTATCGCTCTGGGATGTCTTCACGTGCACAGTCCTCTGCTTCCCCTAACCCATCTAAGGCACACGCATCCTCACATTCCAAGTCTTCTCGGCATGAGGCTCGAAACCTTGCTCCTCGCTCCTCGCCGACATCTGTTGCCACCACAAAACCTATTTCGAGCAATGGCCACTCTGCTCCATCAGTAGCCTCTCGTCTTACTGCGGCTTCTGTAGCTCAGAGCGCGCGATCCAGTGTCGTAGATATTTCTACTGACGAGGAAGACGAAGAAAGCGATGCCCGGGCAGAGGACGGAACACATGCTACTGCATCTGCCAAGGTTGGTCCCGCATCTTCAGTTAGGTCCGATAAAACACCGCTCGCCCAAACGCAGCGGACAGAAGGTAGGTCAACACGAAGTAAACAAACTGCTCAGTACGAGCCCCCATCAGCGGCAGACCGACCCCCTTTGGTGCTTGCGAAACACAAATCTCAGCAAGAATTGCCGACTGCAAATGCAGATATGCTTATGGAGAGTGCGTCCGCTGCAGACGCAGACGTGAACATGCGGCCAACGATGGAAGTGATGTCTGCGCTACCTACAGCACCATCGACACCAATACGCACGCAGCCATCTGCAAATCTTAACATTTTTGCTCAACCTGAGGCCCTCGCGCCGTATACCCCCATGGACGCGATGTCTATGGGTGCGCCTGCAGACGCGAGCCCCAGTGCGAAGTTCGCACCGGCGCTTTCCACTGTGCCGTTCGCAGACCTTACCAGCCTGACTGAGGAGGAGCTGGAAATGACAGCTGAAGAGTGGGCACGGCGGCAGCTAGATATCGAGTACGATAGGTTTAAGGCTGACGCGGAGCGCGCTCTGGAGCAGCTTCGCCAACAAGCTAAGGAGGGGCGTGCTAGAATTGAAGCATTATAACGTAGGCTGGTGCGAATTTATACATACCTCATGCAATGATTCCAGTGTCGTTTCCTGATTCGAATTCATTGTCTTCCAAGTACATATCTTTGCATCGACTCACGGACATGGCTTTATAATTTATGTAAACATACATACAGCTTTCCACTACTCCAGTCGAGATATCCAGGAAAAGCGGACCGGCTTTGCTTGTGGCCAGTCATACACGCTACCTCAAGCCAAAAAAATGAAAGGCATAGGTTGCTCGATCCTCAAGGCCTCAAGCTCAAGGCCTCATCATGCCTTCTTCAAAAAAATTTTTCCTTCCTGATATGTAGGTGTAAAAGGTGAATTTTGTAATCGCGAGCAAATTTAGTAGTATCACACCAGAGAAATGTAAGGGCGAGATGGCCGAGCGGTCTAAGGCGCCAGACTAAGGAGACCAACCCATGTGATGGGTCTTGTAATCTGGTCTTTCGGGGCGTGGGTTCGAATCCCACTCTCGTCACTAATGTTTTTTTTGTGTTGCTTTTGTGTTGTTTGTATGTCATGTGTACGGGGAAGCTTTCTTTGCACCAAGCGTTGCTCATACTTCGTATTGAACGCCTCACAAGGTATCAAAAAGTACAAGAGAGGAGACTGTGATATTTGCATAACAATTATGTCCTACGACGTCGCACTTCTTCCAGGGCCGCCGCAACGGCTACCTTGGAAGCCTGTTGTTCGTTCCAGGTGCTGGCAGCCCGTCTAGAACTTAGCAGTAAGCAAGAGGAAAGCACTTTGAACGCCAGTCTCACCGTAACCGAGACAGGAATAACAAAGAGCAAACAATGCTCTTGAATTTCTTTGGCTTCCGACGAGGCTGAAGATCTGGTGTGGAAAACCCGATTCTTGCAATCGCGGCCACGATGGTCCTCTCGCTGATGGGATTTTGAGTCCCTAATGCAACAAAAAGAAGGCAGCTATAAACGTCATACCTTCGCTCGAACTTGGATAGCAGGACCAACAAATACTGCTTTTGGTATGCCAGGTCAAAACGTAGGGACGACTCCCGCGTGAACTTGGCCTTGAGATACCGAATCTGGATAATAAGTCCTTTGCACTCTTTGCTGTGTTGAAGCTTAATGGCGGCCAACTGATTCTCGTTCCTATCCTCGTACGTTAAAGAGAAACCATGATTCATCGAGAAGAATGCAAGTACGTACATCTGGCAGACGTGTGAATTGAGTTGCTCGATGGCATGTACTGCTTTATTCCGCTGAGTCTCCAGCTGCTCGTTCAGCAAATGAATCTGGGTTTGTGACTGTTTGCGAGCTCGCTCGGCTTTGTTGGACTCATCCTTGGATTTGGCCTGAAGCTTCTCTTTCTCGGCGCGCAATACTTTGAGGTCATTCCCGAATGTCTCAGCGTCAGCTCGTACACGACGCAGGTCCGCCTCCATCGCAGAAATGACACAAGCGATATCGCCCTTTTCTGCCGCTATATGATTACGCTCGGCTTCCGTTTTCTGGATCGTTTCAGTCTGCGCTATGAGTATCTTGCGCAACTCATCGATCTCATGTGTATAGGTGTCGATTCGATTGCGACGGTTGTCGTGGGATTTCTGCGATTGAACTTGTTCGTCGCGAAGACGGTTCGCGCGCTGAGGAAACAACATGAATGTGTATACACAAGAGCGGTATGCATATGAGCACGAACCTCAGATACGTCGGCATACCGTTTTTGGAGGTCTTTATAGTCAGCGGAAAGCATCAAACGCTCTTCCCGCAGTTGGTTGATAGTTTCGACATTTTCTGCTACGCGGACCTCCAACAAACGGGCCTTTTGTTCTGCATTGGCGTTGACTGGAACAGAGTCAGCAGCCGTCTAAAGCGGGGCTCTAGATGTCTACCTCTCAGCTCATTCTCGAGATCGTGATTCTCCTGCTTAATAGAAGCTAGTTGATCTCGAACATCCGTCATATCCTTGAGAATCGATTTAGCACGACAAAACAGGTCAACGGCACGTGCTTACCGCTTCAGCACGTTTGAGGTCAGCCAATACCATTTTTCTCTCTCGCTGAGCCTTAGATTGCTCTACAACGAGACTCCTGAGCCGAGCGCGCTCGGTCTTCAGATCTTCCTCGAGATCATCAATGGTCTGGCGCGCTTTATCCAGCTCCTGGACGAGGTCAGCTTGGCACACACTGGAAGTGAAGTATCAGACATTCTGGACGGTAGCGCGGGCACGCTCTGCATTCTCCCCAAGAATAGCCTTCTTCGCGTCACGTTCGGCTTGAATATTGAAAATTTTCGCTGCGTCTTGTAAGGCCGCCTTCTCGCCCATAAGTTTTGTGCGTTCTTCATCCCATTGCTTCTTCATACGCGCGAGATTGTTGTTTAACGATCGCACATCAGCACGAAGAGTATCGGCGGTTCGTGTGGGAGGCGTCGGGGGTTCTGTGGGCAAACCAGATCTCGAGATGTCGGTTGTGCTAGCAAGGAAAGATTTGACTGTCGTGCCTGTCCCATTCATGAATATACGAGGTCCCACCTTTCATTCAAGGACCCAACAATTTCCGAAGTGTCGACTCTGATGCGGCACTTCTGGCACCTTAGTCGCTCGAGCCGTTGGGTGCGTCGTTCGTCACGTCGAGTCAAGCGAGCGATCTCGCCCTGTTGACATTCAATTTTCTCTTGTGCATCCTCCAACTTCCGTGTAAGAGCGACAGTGCCCAAACCAGCGTGTTCGAGACGATCCAGCTTGTCATCAATACTTTCATTAGCGACATCTAGCTCATGCTGTAAACGACTGATCTCTGCAACTAGAGGTGAGATGGATGAATCGGATTTTGGTGTCTTCAGCCACGAGGACATCTAAAAGTGTATCAATCAATGACCAGTTCAGGCCTGGAAAGGCCTCACTCACATCTCGTAGAGGAGCGCCTGGAGTTCGCGGGGCACGAATAGACATATTCAGGACTTGCCGATGGATTGGAGACATCATACTATTGTTAACCGCGCGGCCAGGGGAGTTAAACTCGTTGATGGTCGTCCGGAGCGCCTTATTGCGTTCCAAGAGATCTTCCCGCTCGCGCTCCAACATCACAATCCTAGCGTCTCTAGCCTTGTCCATAGCCTTGCGCGCGGGTGACTGCCGGAGCAAAGTGGACAAGCGTGCAATCTCTCTATGAGCGCTGTCGAGTTCCTCTTCCAATGCATGTATCTCGGCCTCACGCTGTTGAATTTCAGTGGAAGTATCAAGCGAAGAACCGCTGGCGGCATTGTGCTGCAAACGCTCGTTTTCGCGTTCTAGGGAGGTGATTTGGGCTTTCAGCGATGCGATCTCCACGTCGTCAGCTTCCATCTTTCCCTCTGCAGCCACGAGCGCTTCATCGTTCTGAAGCGCCAGTTCAGCAGCACGCTGAGCCTCCTGCTCTAACTGCTCGATCTTGTCGTCTGCAATTCGTTCGCTCGCGACCAAGGCCTCAATGCGTTGCTGTGCTATCGCGAGATCCTCTTCCAAGGCTTCTATGCGTTCGGCTGCCGCTTTAGCCTCATCTTCGACCTCTTGTGCGTACGCCTGTGCATGCCTTGCCTCTTCTTCGGCACTGCATAATCGTTCTTGAACGCTGTCATTGTCGGCTCTCTTCACAGCAAGCTGGGTTTCCAGATCGCCAATGCGGCGCTTGACTTCACCGAGCTCCTTCTCCAGTTTGGCATTCGCGTCCTCTTCGTCGACGAGATGTCGCTCCAAGTCAGCGTTCACCTCACGCTGACCGGCGAGCTCCCCCTCCAAGTTCGTGACCTTTTGCTGGGCATCATTGAACTGGCGAACCAACTCAGAGTTGGCCCTCAGCTCCTGCTCAAGAGATTCATCCAACTGGTCGGCACGCTCCTCGGCACGTTGCACTTGATCTTCGAGTTGCTCGACCTGGAAGTTCGCGCTCCGGAGCTCACTTGTGAGATCGCCAATGCGCCCGTTCGCTTTTCGCAGCTCGCCACCTAGTTCCTTGCCGTTCTCAAGAGCGTGTTCTGCTTTCTCGACACGTTCAGAAGCCGCATCCCTCTCGCTCTCGACACCGACAAGTCGCACTTGCCACTCCTTTCGCTCGCGCGCTATGTCGGCCTGCAAGCTCTTGAGCCCAGATTCGGCGCCTTGTGCTCGCTTCTCCAGATCAGCGACAATGCCAGAAACCCCCTTCTCAACTTCCGTCATCCGCACGCGCCATCGCTCTTTATCTCGGACTCGCTCTGTCTTCTCGTCGGAGAGGGCCTGATTTGCTTCGTCCCTGTCTTTCCTAGCCTCCACGAGCTCGACCTGAAATTGATGCACAGTTGCCTCAAGTACGATCTTCTCCTTCTGGACATCATCTCGTTCCTTCGTCGCATAGTCCACCTCTTTTTGCATCATCTCAATCGCAGCCTCGAACTCCGCACGTTCCTCCATCCACCCTTCGGCGCCGGCGTCTTCCCGTACATCGTCCAAGGCGGCGCCCCCAGTGCTAACCCGACGGCCGGCTGCACTCATTCGTCGAGAATTGCCGCCTTGGTCGGCGGCCTGCTCAGCACGGCCGGCAGCAGCCATTTCCTGGAGTTTTGTGACCCTCGCTATGAGCGCCTCGTTCTCTTCTTGAAGTCGCCGATTAAGCCCGTGCAAATACGTATTGAGCTTGCCAGCATTGAATCGACCTACTCCATGCGCTGCGTTGCTGAGACCCATGGCAGGATCGAACGATGTATTTGCTCGCTGGTACGCCGTCAGATCATGGGAAGACGCAGTGGAGATGAACGATGCGCCCTCGTTCGGCGAAGTGGTATGCACTTCACTGGACAATGTCGCAGGCGGCGTATCTTCCTGTGATTCTGAATCAGATGCGATCGCGCCCAATGGCGACGGCGCGAACGTCTGAGACAAGGGGCCCGATAGACGGCGGTTCAGCGCCACCCTTGGTCGTGGTGTGACTCCAGCAAACGCGGTCTGGAGATTAGTACGAATAATGCCTGCAGGCACAGCGTTCGACATAGTTGATGTGTCGCCTGGAGTGGCGGGAATGCTAACACTAGGCGTGACAGGCACAGGAAACCGCGGGTGCGGAGTGGTGGGGAACCGCATACGAGGGCGCGCCGTCGTGTTGATCACCGAGAGCAGAAACGACCTACGGCGCGTGTTGGGCGTGAGTGCCTGATTCACTTGTGGAGTCACAGGCACTTCCGCGGTTGAATCCTCGGGTCGGTTGCGCGCCCCTGGTACAAATGGCGCACAACTCTCAGGTGTGAACGATACGCTGAAGCGGGCATGAAGCCGAAGCTGAACAGGGGTGGGTGTAGCAATGGAAGGAGCAGGAGAATAGGTGCCAGAGCACACTGTATCCATTGGGCGCGCTTTACGCGTAATATCGACTTCTTCAGATGAGAATGTCGGCTCTAGCGACGTTGATTGCTGGTCATGGTGTTCGCTGTCATTAGTCGATATTAGTTCGGGTTCGGGTTCAGACTGCTCATGGTTGTCCGACTGATCCTGGACACT